CTGGTAACTATCTAGCTGATATGGGTAGGGGTAGGGTTAGGGTTAGGGTTAGTGTTAGGGTTAGGGTTATAGTTAGGGAGTAGGCGTAGGCGACTCCCTAGACTCGTTAGTGGAGTAGGCGAGGTACGGTACGGCATATTAGATAGTAGTATTTAGTACCAGGGTACGGTCCGGCAGTCCCCTGGGGGACATAGACCCTCTCAGCAGTACTCAGTAGGGCCTATGTCCCCCCGGGTACTGCCGGAACGTACCCTGGTAACTATCTAGCTGATATGGGTAGGGTTAGGGTTAGAGTTAGGGTTAGGGTTTGGGTTAGGGTTAGAGTTAGGGAGTAGGCGTAGGCGACTCCCTAGACTCGTTAGTGGAGTAGGCGAGGTACGGTCCGGCATATTAGATAGTAGTATTTAGTACCAGGGTACGTTCCGGTACACCGGACCGTACCTAGGGTACGTTCCGGCAGTACCCTGGGGGACATAGACCCTATCAGCATTATGAGTAGTATTAGTATTGTTATTGGTATTAGTTTTGTTACGGAAATGCTGAACGGTTTAGCCTGCCTGGTTGCTTAGTGATGAACTGCGTTGTAATGTAGGCCCCTAATGATAAACGACTTTTCTAGTTCTGGTAGCAGTAGCAAGATCGGTGTGTATGAAAAACGAAAGACCATCCCCTCTATTTGCGGTTTCAATTGCAACTATGTCGACAATGTTGTTCGTATGTTAGATAGTGATTGATTAATGAGGTACACGGTCACTCAACAAACATCGGTTAAATGTAGTCTGAAAATTCTCGTAAGCGTTTGTCTCTATTTCACACGAGTGCATTTTTTCGTGATAATCATGTTAGTAAGCAGAAACCTAACAATCGCAATGCACATTTTATCCCCATAGCATTACGTGGTTTTCACAGAGTAAAAACAAACTCGAATTGCAAACCTACGCATACTAGGTACCTCACAAACAAGGTGCTCATATTTGTTGACTAGCGATAAATTGAAAGCGATTTAGGACGTGGCAGGATGGGCTATAAAACAGTTTGGCAGCCTGAATAAATAGTGGCACGCGTGCATCTACTGCATGCCTGCACGGTGATTTAGAAAAGCTTATAAGCTGTGTCAAGCAGGCACCGGAATTTCTAATTTATTGGGTGTAATTGCAGTTGCTCCAGACCTATCTGTCGTTCTTCGGTATTGCGCTGGCCAATGCTCGTCTGTTTGAAGCATCACGACAGGAACAGCTAAATAACAAGGTATGTGAGCGTAGGACGTACGCATGTTTACATTATGGAATAGGTCGTGTATGTAATAGGTAATTTGTGCTAGTATTCACAATAATATTGTATAGTTTGATATATTTCCATTGATTCTCTATCCAATTTAGCTATGCGTACTTTACCTTGCTTTCCTATAAATAGCAAGTACTAGATGTTGTGTAACGATTATATGTTTAAACTATAACCAGTGATTTTCTAACTTTATTTGCTGATCGAGTCCTGAACGAGTTGTCGTTTTCAACCTTGTCATCCTAACCAGCACCGTCACCGCACTACACACACACACACACACTCTCTCTCTCTCTCTCTCTCTCTCTCTCTCTCTCTCTCTCTCTCTTTCTCTCTTTCGCGTTGGCACTCTGACACAT